TATTTGTTTTTCTCTTTCTGACTTCACTCTGTATGACAGTCTCTAGATCCATCCACGTCTCTACAAATGACCCAATTTCATTCCTTTTTATGGCTGAGTAATATTCTGTTGTCTATAGGTACCACATCTTGTTTATCCATTCATCTGTTGATGGACATTTAGGTTGCTTCCATGACCTGGCTATTGTAAATAGTGCTGCTGTGAACATTGGGGTGCATGTGTCTTTTTGAATTATGGTTTTCTCTGGGTATATGCCCTGTAGTGGGATTGCTGGGTCATATGGTAATTCTATTTTCAGTTTTTTAAGGAGCCTCCATACTGTTCTCCATAGTGTCTGTATCAATTTACATTCCCACCAACAGTACAAGAGGGTTCCCTTTTCTCCACACCCTCTCCTGCGTTTGTTGTTTGTAGATTTTCTGATGATGCCCATTCTAACTGGTGTGAGGCGATACCTCATTGTAGTTTTGATTTGCATTTCTGGTTGCCTATTTTAAACATGCTGAGCTGAAGTTTGAAAAAACAGTCCAGTTCCAGAGCCCAATTCTTCACTGTTACTCTCTATGGTCTCTTAATATAATTAAGGAGATAATAGGAGCGTTGTTTTGCCAGGAGGGGCGGAAATTGGTGAAGAAAGGGTTAGGCTACCAAATAGTAAATATGTTAACAGCTCCACAACCCAAAGAGCCTGGTATTGGTCAGCGAAAGATAGACTCATCTTACAATAAAATTTAAAAAAAAATCCAAAAGTAGACAACAATATATGTCTGAGAATTTAGGGGAAAAATAAATTGCATCCTATCTGTCTCCTTTCTGCCCAGCACATTATAGGAGCTCAATAAATGTGTTGTTATTGAATCACATTCAGATTGTTCAAGATTTAAATGGAAAAATAAAACTACATTTAAGGTTTGGATAAGCAATTTTAGATGAGTATTTCTATCATCTTTGGTGGAGAAGAGCTTCCTAAGCAGAGTATCAAAACGATGCCATAGAGGAGTATATTGATAAGTTGACTACTAAAAAGTATAAAACTTGCCCAAGTCTGAGCATACAGAGCCTTATATAAATAACCCCAAGATCTCATCAAAAAAAAAAAAAAAAAGTCTCATTCTGGAGCCTTGAATAGACACACATAAAAAATATAAATAAAAAAATAAAATGAAAACTCAGGATTCTGTCACTGATTAAATATCTACAAAGTGCCTACAGCACTGGGATGAGCTTCATCAGACCAGATTAGTCCAGTATGCAAAGAGGATCATATTTCTGTAGAGACAAAACCTTCCAGCAGCTTTAATTCCTCACGAAACCTCAGACCACATGCAACCATTAGCTGAAGCAAACATGATGAGAGAACAAGCATCAGAATTGTCAGTAAATTCTGCAAAGTTGAAATCTAAGCCATCAGTTTCAGTAATTCCCAGAAATCACAGCCAAATCTAAACACTGTGTAGTTTTGTGATTTTACAGTTGAGCCAGTGCAAAGGTTTTAGGAATTTAAAAAATCATATAATTGTTGTCTCATACACAGACACCATTGTATCTAGTTAGCTTTTAAAAGTATTCATTCAGCCTAAGTGAAATACCATCAAAGAATTTAGGATGGAAAAACTGCATAGAATCAAGGTCAAGTGAAAGCCCTAAATAACTTCTAAGAGACTTGCAACACCCTGAACAGATATAATCTGGTCGTTCCATCTCGCTGACTGACCTCAGCACGTGAATAAGGCCAGCTTTAAGCAGCTGAAGTGGTGTTTACTTTTGTCCAGAATCTATACCCTAATTGTAAATTTGTACTTTAATTTGTAGTAACCCCAAGTAATAGGATATTTCCATGTCGAAGTGGGGCCCATAAAGAACGTTGCAGGCATGGGTTTGAATTGGGGTGATCCCTGAGAACTAGGGAAACTGATGTTCTAATCTGTGCATCAACCACGGTGGCATGTCGAGTAGGCTCATTTGGAGCTAATATCAAATCCTACTCAAGACCCCTTACAGAGGCCCCTGAACTCCTCACCAAGAGACTGTGCCTCAGAGTGTCATGAAGAACAGGGACAATGACCCAGATAACTCAGACTGAAGAAAGGTACCACTTCTGCTTCAAAGTGTCCAGTAAGACACTTTGCGGTGAGAGTATTAGAGAGTGGAGGTAAAACCATCCTGGAACGATCCATACAGCCTCTATCCTCCCTTTGCTTGGCGTGAGAATACACAAACTGTTTATATTGAGTTAGGTAAAATAAGCAGAAGATAATTCTGAGACCATTATTTTATGTTGGCCGGTCGTATTAGAGCTTGTTAAGAAGACTCCTTTGGCAGAAACAGACTCACAGATATAGGAAGCAAACTTGTGGTTACCAAAGGGGAGACAGAAGGCAGCAGAGGCAAATTAGGGGTATGAGATTAACAGATACAAACTACTTACTATGTATACAATAGATAAGCAACAAGGACGTATAGTATTGCACAGGGAATTATAGTCATTATCTTGTAATAACTCATAATAGAGAATAATCTATAAAAATGCGGAATCACGATGCTGTATGCCTGAAACTAATATAATGTTGTAAATCAACTATGTTTTAATACACTTTGGGGTTGCTTTCGGTACTCACTGTAGGAGAAAACGGCCTTGGGAGTGATTAGTAGAAATCTGTAATTGAGTAGCCCTAGTGTCCATGGGAAAGAGAGAACTCAGAGACAGATGACATAAAACTGGGCATTTTATCCTTTGCCATGGGGTACAAAGTGCTTTTTCCTCTCCTCGGGGGGATCTGTGAAATGCAACATAGAACTGTAACCTAGGCCGGTTGGGAAGGGTCTACCCTTTACTAGACCAGGGTCAACACCACCTTAGGGGGCTAGAAAGTAGCACCATCATGACCTCGCTGGTACCAAAATCACGAGTTTGTTTTAGGTTCTTTTCTCATATACAAGATAGCAGCATCCCAAGGTAGCTGAAGAAAGAGAAAATTCAACTCCATTTCGGGCTATTAGATCTGAGAGTTAGACTTGGCTGTTTGATCTGGCATAGAATCATTGAAAGAAGTGGCATTATTTGGTGCCCGTTCCTTTGTCCAGACATTTCACTGTGATTTTCTCTTTCTCTCATCCCCTTACCCTGTTGTCCCTCTCACAACAGGTGTAGAAGACATCGTGGCAATAATGATTCCTGAGCCCAAAGGGAAGGAGATAGTAAGCCTGCTGGAGAGAAACATCACCGTGACGATGTACATCACCATCGGAACCCGGAACTTGCAGAAATATGTGAGCCGCACCTCGGTTGTGTTTGTCTCCATCTCCTTCATCGTCTTGATGATCATTTCCCTCGCCTGGCTGGTCTTCTATTATATCCAGAGGTTTCGATATGCAAATGCCAGGGACAGGAACCAGGTGAGTAGCAGAAAATTAAAAAAAGAAAAAAACTTAAAAATTATTACCAGAATAAGACATATTATTGTGTAAACTTTGGAAATCACAGAAAATACCAAGACCCAAACCAAAATTACCTATGATGCCCCCACTCAGGATAAACACTGTTAACATTTACTGTATAGTTTTTCAGATCTTTTCCAAGTACACATATTTTGATGTTTTGCTAACATTGTTCTGTAACACGGAAGTGCTTTGTCCCACGTTCCTATTGCTTATTTGGGGGGCAATTATTTATTTATTTAAGCACAAAATAAAGGGAGAAAGAGGAAGGGAGCTGAGATTATGCTAATTGTATCAACATAATGTGGAAAGAGCCAGGATGTCCTCCTTGTGAACAGAAGGAGACAAAAAATAAAAGGTATTTTAAAAAACAACTAATTTTGGAACAGACAGTGCCTACACATAGTATAAAATGAAAAAGGTACAAAATGGTATACGGTGAAAAGTAATTGCTTTCCCATGTTTGTCCCTCAATTAAGCAGTTCTTCTCCTTGGAATATCTTCCCTTCCAGGGATATTTTATATGCTTACAAACGTGTGTGTGTGTGTGTATATGTGTGTTTTTAAACAAATGATAGCACACTTAACTCTGTACCAGTATTTCTCACTTCATCTTGGAGATTCATTCTTATCAACACTCAATCCAAGCTGCCTTCTCATTTCTAATAACTGTACAGGCAGACCTTGGAGATATGGTGGGTTTCATTCCAGACCACTGCAATAAAGCAAATATCTCAATAAAGCGAGTCAACAGGAATTTTTTGGTTTCCCAGTGCACATAAAAGTTATGTTTACCCTATACTATAGTCTATTAAATGTGCAATAACATTATGTCTTAAAAAAGCAATGTATGTACCTTAATTTTAAAATACTGCTAAAAAATGTTAACCATCATCTGAACCTTCAACTCATCGTGATCTTGTTGCAATAGTAACATCAGAGATCACTGATCACAGATCACCATGACAAATATAGTAATAATGAAAAAGTTTGAAGTATTGTGAGAATTACCAAAATGTGACACAGAGACACAAAGAGCAAATGCTACCAGAAAAAATGGTGCCGATAGATTTGCTCAATGCAGGGTTGCCACAAACCTTCAATTTGTAAAATACACAGTATCTGTGAAGGGCAATAAAGCGAGGTATGCTATGTAATGTTTTATTTTCTGCATATGCCGCATTTATTTAACCAGCTCCTATTAATGGACATGTTTTCTCTTACCAAAAAACAAAACAAAACACACACACACACACAAACATGTACACGTGACACAACACATTTGTGAGTATATCTGTATGGTAAATTCTGGAAGTTTTATAGCTAGGGCAATAGGATGTGTACTTTAAACTATAATAGATACTGCCAAATTGTCTGCCAGAAAGGTTGAACCAATTTATACATTAACCAACAATATAGTAATACTGTTTATACTAATATAAATGACATTCATGCAGTAGAGTATTAATTTAATACTGCTTATGCTAACATATACAACAATATACTAATGACAAACACTATTTACGCATATCCTCACCAAATGGATATTACAGCTTTTTTGTTGTATGCAATTTAATAAGTTAAAAATGGTATCACATTTTTCTTATCACAAATAACATAAAATAGAAAAAAGTGATTTTTTTTTTTTTTCTATGAAGTATCTGCTTACATTATTAGACCACTTTTCAATTGAGCTGTTGGTCACATCGTACTGATGTGTGTAAGCTCTTTACTGGTCAGAGCAGTTAACCCTTTTTTGGGGAATCCTACAGATTCCATGTTTTTCCTCCCAAGTTGTCACTGTCTTTGATTTATCTTTGGAGCTTTTTACCATGCAGAAATTTGGGGGTATTACATAACTGAATTTATCAATTTTTATAGCTCCTGAGTTTTATATAATAAGATCTTCTATAGCCCAAGACTGTAGAAAAACAGTATCTCATGGTTTCATCCACTGCTTTTTTAATTTCACTTTTATGATTAAAACTTTAATCTACAGAGAACTTATTTATTTCAGTGTAAGGAATCAAGTACAGAGCCAACATTAGTTTTGTTTTAGCTTGCCTACCAGTTTTTGTAACTGGTATTTATTGAATAATTAATCTTTTCCTTCTCATATGCAGAACCCTCCCCCATCTAGCATATATTAAAGCCCCATATGTATTCGGTTCTGTTTCTATGCTCTATAAAATGTAGCTTTAATCTGTCTATTCACGTTGCAATATCATACTGTTTTGAATGTTTTAGCACCATAATGTCTCATATCTGTTCATGCTAATCTTCTTTCATTGCTCTTTCACTTTTTTCATGTTTATATGATTTTAGAATCACTTTTAGCTAGATTTTTAATTTATAGGATAATTTAGAAGGAGTTTATAACCTACTGATGTTGAATCTTCCTATCAAAGTGTAGTATATGTTTTCCCTTTATTCAGCTATCCTTTTTGTTCCCTAATAGCATTCAAACTATCCTCATTTAATCTTGCACATTCTTCTTATGTTTATTCCTAGGTCATTGTGTTGCAATTATAAATGAAATCCCCTTTTTCATACGGGAAGTCTTTTGATTTTTTGTTTATTTTGTACATTATTATTATTTAGTAATTTATGTATTTTATAACTTATTATCATTTTAAATTATTATTATTACCTTAATAATAGTGATATTATATAGTATATATTAAATGCAGGCATGTTGTAAGAGCTCTCTATATATTTACATACTTAACCTACTTAATAGGCTTATAGCAGATAATTCTGTTTTCTTCATTTTACAGAGAAGGAAACAGAGGTTAAATAAGTTGCCCAAGGTCACACAGCCTGTTACTAATAGAGACAGCAGCTGAACCAACAGCAAGGCTTCAGAGTGTATGCTCTTAACCACTACATTGTGGTACTTGTGATTGTTTGTATCAGTTTATCAGGATTATACTAATAATATGCAATCAATGATAATTTACTTCTTTCAAATTTTAAAACTCCTTTTTTTCTCTGTTATCTAACTTCACTGACTTGTGCCTCCAGAATCAACTAAAGTAGTAGTAGTAATAGTGAACATATTACTCTTCATTCAGTATTTAATGGGAACATTCTGAGTTTAATGGATCGTTTTTATCATTTCTCAATTTTCTTATTTCCCCATGCAGTCTTCTAGGTTAAGATATATATTTAACATGTTGTATAAATGTCAACATAGTCCTGTTTTATTCAGAGTTTTAATCAAGAATGTACTTTTAATTTTAACAAATGCCTTTGCAAGAGCTGTAGTCTGGGTTTTCTCTTTTGATCTGTTAATAGGAGTGGTTTAAATTAATGGATTTCCTAATATTGAACCATCCTGAATTTCCAGTACATGCTAATCCTCTAATGTGTGCTAGACTGATTTGATCATATCTTATGTGGTACATTATTTATTTTTTACCTTGATATTCACATGTGAAATTTGTCCATAGTTTACATTTTTATCATGTTTAGGTAAGGGCTATACTGGTTTTATAAGAAGAATTTGCACATTTTCCTCCATTTTCTATAGTCCAGAGTTGCAGTGTCCAACATGGTAGTCACTAGCCATGCGTGACTATTTAAATTTAAATTAATTGTAATAAAATAAAATGTAAAATTCTGCTCCTCAGTCATACTAGCTACATTTCTAGTGGCTACTAGAATAGATACAGCATAGATAGGACACTTTCATCATCATAGAAAGCCCCATCGGACAGCCCAGTTCTAGAGCATTTTAAACAGCCCTGGAATTCGCTGATCCTTGAAGTATTATAGAACTTTTTGTAAGTCAATAAATTCTAAGTTGTTTTAGGAGGACAGCTCTTGGACTTTTTATTTATTTTATGGAAATTTGTCTGTTTAAATTTTCTATATAGCTTCTGGAACAATTTTTTTTAACATTTTTATTGCTTTTTTCTGACTCTCAAAATGATGCATGTTTATTCTAATAAATTTTGGCAATCATAGAAAAATACTGAAAGAGAAGACAAAATCACCCATCACCTTACTGAATTGTTAACAATCGAGTACATTACCTTTCAGACTTTTAACCCCATATATATATATATATATATATATTCAGTAAAATGTCATCGTATATGTGTCTATGTATGCATGAGATACAGACACACGTGTAAGACATGTAAGTTTGTGTTCTCTTTTTTTATTAAATGGTGAGCATTTCCCCCATCATTAAATAATCTTTGAAACATGACTTTTGGTGGCTACCTAGTAGTCGGGTTCCACCACTTACCACAAGTGGACAAGATACTTTATGCTTTAGCTTTCTAAACTAGATGGGAATATACCTTCTTTTTATAGTTATAGTGAGGATTAAATGGCTTAATGTATCTTCTATTTTAAAGTCCCTGAACATGATCAATCACTTACAAAGCTCTCAATGAAGGGTGTCATTATTACTATCATATAGATTCCATAACGATTACATACAATTCCAACTGTGCCACTTTTACTGAATATTCTGGAATTTAAGTGGACCGTTATTACCAGTTAGACACAAGGCAGTGAAACTAGATATAGAACAAATATGTTCAGTTCCACTGGTTCCTAGGGGTTACGTTTGAAGAAACCATACAGCTATAAATCAGTTATTGCGAAGACACTTTCCAGCTGATCCAACAATGATCAATAGAAAGAGTACCCCTATCTTTTTGAGTCTATAGATAACCCAAGCAATCATTGGGAAATTGAGGTAAGGATGAAATTTTAGGCTTGACTTGGTTGAGTAACTATTTCAATTGCTAGTTCACTTTGTGCCGGTAGATAGAGATTGCATTTCTGTCCTGGCCTCTGCATACTCTGTGATGTATGTGAAAAGCAAATTAGAGGTGGATGGGGTTTAAGTGTTTACTCTGCTCCCGTCCTTGATTACAGGATGTTACCTTCAGGTTACGCAGTGAATTTGGATCATGCTGAAAGTTAGCACTATTTCTTGA